GAGAGCCCTCGCAGAAATCATTCTATGGACCCAAGGATCGGAGGCCCACTAGAGAAACGGCCAAAAACCAGACAATCTAGACCAATTTGGAATAACATTAAATTTTGTTGAAATGACATGACTTTTGGTTGTTTGATCAAGGGAAACTCATTGGACCTCTTAATTGTGTCAGATAGTTTCTTCTAACTGTCTAAACAGTTACAAATTAAGACTTAAGACCGTCCTGATACCCGTTCGCCACACTTAAACTAAACCAACAATTAGGATAAGCAAAACACTGATATGATTGATGGCTTCTATAAATTCACGGTACATCAAAGCGCATCCATGGCTAAAGTTAAACCATTTCGTCAATAACCAAACATGAGGGCAAACATACAACACCGACTCGAAATTGTAGCCAGGCATGGCCTATTGGTCCTATTGGATGATCTAGAGTCCTTCAAGCATCAAACTTGAAAGAATGATAATAAGTGGTGAAAACCTAAAACTGATTAGCAACGAACCTGTCTGGAGATCTTGGCACAGACACCGGGAGTGCTCCCTTTAGCAATGGTGTTCTCGAAGACACACTCTTGCGCCTGCGCGAGCATGAGCTTCTCCAGCATCCCAGCACACTCAACGGACAAATCAACGGTGGTGGAATTCCCAACGGATGCCTTCATAGAGGCGTTGTCGCGGAGGAAGGCAAAGGAACCGGCGGCAGCAATGAAGGCATGCGAGGCCTGGCGGCGGCCGTCAACGGTGTTCCGATCATATGAACATCCAATCTGGCTGTAAACGGCGCCCAAATTGAAGAGCACGGCGGCCTTCTCGAGGTGGATGTTCTGCTGCGAGGCCTTCTGCTTTGGCTTGAAGGCATCGAACCAAACAAAGGTGAGGGCGTTGACGTGGTCAGGGTCCGGGGAGATTGGGAAGCGCGTCTCAACAAGGCAAAGAGATTTGAAGTAGGTTTGGAGGACATCGCGGCGCGCCGGCAGGGACGGATCGAGGTGACGTTCGATTTCGTAGCGAAGTTGCTTTAGGGTTTGTAGATCGTCTTCGACGTTCTGCGCTTCGCGCTCGGAGTAGTGATACGCCACGTAATTGCGGAGGGGGCGATACATATCAACGGTATTGGTCTTCTTCTCGAAGATCGCGAGCACGATGTTGGCCGAGGCCGCTGTGGAGGACGACGGCGACGCGGCCATGGGTCGGAAAGAAGATTCGAGAAAGTTTGGATTGATTACAGCGTTGAGAATGAGCGAACGGAAGGAAACCAAAACAGCTTTGCTTAAGCCAATACGCTAATTACCTCTTCCTCTGTAGGAGGTGGATCAGTGACACTGTGACCAATCAACTGCATGCCCCGTGAGAGGGTTTAGAATTTCGGTCAGACGCGGAGAAATCAGAAACTAATCTTTTCAAATATATTAAATCGAGATTAATTCTTAACGATTAAGGTTGTGCAGAAATTTGGTATTTCTTGTTTCTTTCCATCCTTCACTTTCTCTGACCGGCATTCCAAATTCAACCTTTGTCACCTTGTTCTTCTAAAACATTTATAGGGCAACTTTAGAAACAACATATATGATGTCATGATGCAGATCAATTTTTCGATAACGATTAATTATAAAAATAAAGAACCTTAGAAAGTAAAATCTAAAGTGTATTACCTGTAATCTTATTCTTCGGATAAAACTATACCTATTACTCAACATACTACCAGCTGGATATTTGCATAAAAGAAATCAATGAATTTTTTCAATCCGTGAATATTTTAAAACAATTATCTTATAAGTTTTTAAATGAAATCCAAATTAAATTGCAAAAGAAATACAAAAATAATGTTTAAAACATATATCCAAAGTGAATGGATAAGTAAAGAGGTTATTGCATAGATGCATAAAGTAACAAAGAGAATAAATAATAAAATCTAAGGATAAAAACGTAATTTCAACTTTTTAGTGGATAACGGGTATCCGCGGTTTGAATAGTGTAATACCAACATCCGATCTATTTAGAAGCGAGTATTTAAATACTCACAACCCACATATAGTAAATATTCGCTGATATCAATTATCTGTCGCAGATTTTACTCATAGATATTTGCGGACGTGAATTTTTTTACCATCCTGATTATAATCAAATAAGATAGACAATAAACAAGTAGAGTAACTCAAATTTATTGCCTTCTATTTTTTTATAAATATAATGTTTTGATCTCTTGTAAGAGATTATGGTGTCAAATATCTAAAATATTTTTCTTTAAAAAAAAAGCAATATTACTAAAGTTAGGTTGATATTGGTGACTATTATCATATAAAATAAGTGACTAATTTCAAATTTTAAAGGTTTTTTGTATTAAAATTATTTCATTTAAGGAAAGTATGTTCCATTTGGTACAAATACATAGTTACCAGAAATAGATTATTATAAATTAAATAGAGTTAGAAGTCTTATATTAAAAATTACAAGATGAATAATATATAAGTAAAATAACTTGTAAACTCTTTTTTTAAGGTTGAGTGGTATAAGAGTGTTTTACATAGATTTATCTACTTACGTGAACAATAAATTTTATTCCAAATTTAATATCACAAAACTAAAATTCATATGAGACAATTGAATGATAAATATAGCTTTGAACGTGATTGGGTACATTATTTTGAGTGATAAAATTAATCAAACAAAACCAAGTGTCACGTTAATTTGAGTTGATGATTTCAATTAAAACTATTGAAACGAAACTATAATTCAACAGAAAAAAAATACATTTTCTTTTGTATAATTTGTTCAATAAATTTTAATACTTTTTGTTAATGATATAAAAAAATTGTGAATAAAAAATCTAAATAGATAATCGAGGTAAGGAGATAAAAGGAATGATATGATGCAAATAGTGAAGGAATGTATAGAAACTCATGTTGAAGAAAAAGATCCAAAGAATAATTATCAAAGTAAATAAAGGATAACAAAGAGTTTATTAGTTAATGCATCATAAAGGAAAGTATTAAGAAAGATATGCGTTATATAAGGTTAAAAATTGAATAAAGCTTAAAAATAAAGCAAAATATGATAACCATTATAAATAAAAAGAAAATAAACACGATTAATATAACATGGACCATTTTAAAATAATTATCACATTTATATGTAAGTTTTTCTTATTTTATTTTAGTTTAAATGTAAAAAAACATGAGAAAATACAAATAGATCGAACAATTATAAAATATGAGTGACAATTTGTTAATACAATTAAAAAACTCTACAAAGTTTAAGAGAAGAAATATAAGAAATCCAATAATAAATGTAAAAGTTTGAATTATCAATTTTCCTAAATTTTCTTTGTCAAATTTTCTTTTATCTTCATTTATTTATTTTCTTACAATTTACATTATTACAATAAGTTTTCTCCACCTTCATCTTTATCTCTAATTTTTCCATTGCTTCATTTACGCTTCATGTCATTTTTATATGCAAAAGAACTCACAAAACAAATTATAGGAAACAGATACACGAATTCCTAACTAAAATACACCTTAGAAGACAATTTAGTAACTTGAATATTATCGCAAAATTAATTCATCTTTTAAATTTTGATCCGTTTACAAAATTAATATTTCAAAACTAAAATTTATTCTTCCTTAAATGATTTTTTATTTTTTTCTCAAAGTGATTAAAAGTTAATATCTGTATTTTTAATTATTTATTGTAAATATTTTTTTCTCTTATTTCACTTTACAACGCTCAGTTTTAAAACTTTTTCCTCTTTTACAAAAAAAGACAACTTCTCACGGTCTGGTCCTTGAGAAGTCAAATTTTGAAAGAATTTTAAACATCAAACATCAAATTATCTGTTAAGAAATGAAATTCCGTCCATTTTAAAAAATAATCTTGTATTGAATCTATCTGAGACTTTGTTCACTTGAATAAATTTGGAGGAAATTATTGTTTATTTGATTTGGAAGTAAGTGAGAATGAATTTAGTAGTGAAGTAAAGTTTGTGAGAATTAGTTTGGATTTAATTGACGTGACACATTAATAAAAAAAGTTATTCTAAATCCACTCTTACCTACCTTCAAATCCACTTAAATAAAAAAATTTATCTTCAAATTCTCTTACATCTCCTCAATCACTCTCATTCGTAAACAAAATATAAAAGATTTTAAAGAAAGAGACGTTGTTTATAATTTTATAATGTATTTAAAATAAATTTATTATTTTTATAATAACTTGTAGAAAAAGATGAATAAAAAATAAAAAATAAGTTTACAATTTTAATTATTATAATTGATGATAAATATCTTTAGTTATAATGTTTTATTTTTTCATAAAATTAATAATAGTAAATTTAATTTAAAAATGTAAAATTATTGTTTTATTTTATTCATTTTTTTGGAGCAACTAAACTTTATATTCAATATTTATAATTAATTATTTTAAATTATCTTTCTATAATTTTAATTTTTAGTTTTTTTAATATTTTTTATCCCATCTAAAAAAGTAAATTTAAAATATAATATTTCAATAGATCTATTTAGAGAAATAATATTTTAATAAATCTTTTTAAAAAGTTATTCTTTAAAAACGGAACATTTAAAGAAAATCATAACAACAATGACAACCATATTTTAACATTTAACGGAAACTATTAAACCCTTTTCCTGCAAGTGTAAAATTGTTAAAGAGTAACTCTTTTTAGAGTAAAATATTATCGAACGTTACCTTGAGTTGTTTTTTACAGTCCAAACATAATAATAACATTTAACTATTTTAAATACATTTATCTAAAAACACACTAAAATATTTCAGAAAAAGTTCTTCAATTTTATTAGTACTAATTAAATTAAATTACACTGATCGTGTTTACTGTGCCTCAAATGAAGATTTTATTTTAAACTTGTAGATATGGGTGGGATCGATTAATATATATATATATATATATAAAGTTTATTTTTCAGGAAACAATAAAACTACTTGTGGCGTGAACCGCGTCCGCGTGGTCACCGACCAGCGGGTTTGTGCGCGTGAAAGAATCCGGTCCGGTTCAAGATGATAGAAAACCTTTTTATAAATCGAATTATTATATATTATATATGTAGTCCAAAACATAGCTGTTTTTCTTCGTATTGGATCTTTCTGGAAGGAAGGAGCACGCAGCAACCCTACCCCAACCCAAACCCTAAATCCCAATCTTCATTTCGATTATCTTCCTCTACTACTTCCTTCAGGTATTGCCACTTCTCTTTCAATTTCAGCTCTCTCTGCTCTATCCATGTTTCGTTTTTTCTCTTCATTTTCCTTTTGTTTTTATGATTCATTAGTCGCGATTCTTGTTTCTTATTTGTTTTAGTTATCAACTGTTGATTTACTTTGATCAGGCGCTGATTTATCCGTACGCGATTCGGGGTAGACTGCTGCTGCGGGGTTTCTTCTTTCACATATAAGGTAAGAAAGGAAGGAGAGAATATCCTGGGAAATTTGTTTGTCTTTGAAATCATGATTATTTGATCGTGAATGAGGATATTGACAAAAAGATTTTTTTTCCCGTGGTTTATCATTTACGCAACGTCCACTGGCTTGCTATGACACTATTGATCAATATATGTTGTCTTTTTTTCTTCAATTGTGTTGTTTTTAAAATTTTTGTCAATATCACGCCAAGTGTTTAGAAAAATGATTATTTATTTATCTTTAAACTAAAACCCCAAGTAGATATAAATGTTTGTCTAGCCAGAAGGATCCATGTGTTACAGTTCTCTTTATCGGTGAACATGGTTGTTAGAATTGGGATTGCAATTGTAGAAGTGCGTGATTTAACAATTTTAATCCCTCTGAACAGATCTTATTGCTCGTGAAGTTTTAGTCAGAATGTATTTGTTCTAAAATTGAGATTCAAGGTTTATTGTTTGATCCAATGATTTCACAATGAGACCCAGTTTTAAATTTTGGGCCCAGTCTTGACCTACTTTTAAAGTTAGTGATGGTTGAATCTTTTCTTTGTTGACTGCCATCCCTTTTTACTAAGAGCAAGGCAGCTGCTTCTCAAGAACCTTAACTGCTGTTCTATTATTCTGTCTTAGCAAGTTTCCACACGCCATTGCTGTTTGAAGTTCTATTTTTTGTCTTAGCCACCGTTTTTTCATTGTTCTTTAATTTTTCTTGAATTTGTTTTTCTATTTGCTGTTGTTATCAGGTTTTAGTGTTTTGGCTTTTACTGTTTTTTGTTTGAACGCAGCCTCTCTTTTCTAACTCACGCCCACCTGTTATTCTCTTTCCTTGTTCACAGTACTGAACTAATTGAAGATGAATTATGGGTTATCTCTTATGAATACTTTTGGATGACATTTTTGGAATATGGTTTGTATGTACCAGTTTGCATTTATATGGATTTTTATATGACTTTTTTGTAAAATCATACTAGATTTATGATTGTTTTAGCCTTTTTTTTTCCTGATTTTAACTCCATTGTCGAAGAAGAACAAATATATAGCCTAAAATGATTGTTGGAAAATCTAAAGTAAACAAGAAATTATGGGTTTGTGCCAACTGACCTCACCCTAGTCCGAATTCAGTTCCAATCCCTAAAATCCCACCCTGGCTATGAGCTTTAAATTAAAAACCTGAAAAAAATCATATTAGTAATTTGCACATCCCACAAACACCCAACAATTTGACCACTGACCTCTGGTGTGCTATTTCGGTTAGCTTTCAGCTGCAAGTACTTACCCTCATCATTTTGCCTTGATTCTCTGACTTCTACCGCTCAACCTTGTTCTTGTTTCTGTCTAACTCAACTACACGTCCGCCATCTGCTGCAAGGTTTTGGGAGACTAAAATCATCTGCTACCGATATCACTAGTGTGGATTCTCTTTTGTTAAGGAGAAATGTAGGAATCAGATCAATTTAACTTTGTTGGTTCTGTCAGTTAAGAATTCTGTAAAATATTGAGGGGAATTATACTTGTTTAATGAGACTCGGTTATTGTTTGTGCTTCATTTCTCCCAGGTTTGACAAAATAATTCATAGAAAGTTAGTCTTTGCCATGTTTGTACTAGATTTAGTTTGATTTATATCATACACTCATGCATTTTTTTGGACTCTGTCTCCTCTCATTTTTTGAATTCTTGAATTTCACCCATCATCACTGTCTTTACTGTAACTTAGTGAGCAATGCCTGTATATTAGTGCTGCTTGTAGTTATGGTAATAGAAATTTTCGGAGTAAGTATCCTTTTTTGTTGGAATAAGCCTTGAAATTTAAACTGAGATTATAACTGGTTAGCTAGATGGATGAAGGGTCACATCTTTCATGCTCTTATTAATTCTCTGAAAGAGGGCAAGGTCTTAACATAATGAGTATTTTGTATGTGATATTTCATGTTATCAGTGTCCTTTGATAACAATTTCTGTTTTTTTTTGCTAAGAACAAGTCTCTAAGAATTTTCATGGATAACGTATAAGAAATGCAAAGTATCGTTTTAGTTGTTTTTCTAATCCTTTGGAAGTATTCAATATAATTATTTGATTTGATTGTCGAACTAACTTTGATTTTTCTCTTCTGTGAGATGCACTTCCGGTCATCATTTGATCCAAATGCAGTTTTTGTGTTGGTTTTGGAGTATAAATGGACACCAAACGATTCATCCAGATGGTTGAGGAGAAGAAAAAGAAGATCATGGAGAGAAAGGAAGCCCCTTTGAAATGGGAGCAGAAGCTGGAAGCTGCTGCTGAAGCCAAAGAGAGAAAACTTAAGGTTACAAAGCATAGAAAAAGGTCAGTTTCTGATAGTGACAGTTATTATGACAGTGATGATGAGAGTAATAGGACAAGTAAAAGATCTCATAGGAAGCACAGGAAGCATTCTCACTATGACTCTGGTGACCATGAGAAAAGGAAAGAAAAAAGTTCGAAAAGGAAAACAAAGAAATTGTCTTCAGAGTCTAGTGATTTTAGTAATGATGACTCCGAGAGTAGCTTTGAGGAGGAGAGGAGAAGAAAGAAGAAGCAGAGCAAGAGGCTGAGAGATCGAGGTTCAAGATCAGATTCAAGTGACTCTGACGAAGGTGAAAGTACGGTTCGGAAAAGAAATCATGGAAAGCATAGCAAACGCCATCGACGATCAGAGTGTAGTGAATCTGACTTGTCAAGTAATAAAAGTGACGATGCTCTACGAAAGAAAGGCCACAGCAGGCACCATAAACATCATAAGCGATCACATAACGTGGAGCTGAGGTCGTCTGATTCCGATTATAACAGTAATGTTCAAAGAAGCAGATCAAAGTCATTAGAAGAAAATTCTGAAGATCAAAACAAAAGATCAATGCATAAGAAGCCTAGTCGCCATCATCGTCATCACCACCACCATCACCACAAACACAGGTACCACTTGGATGATGAGAGAAATCACAGGCGGCAGCACTCCCCGAAATCTAATGACAAGTATGATGAGCAATTTGACAAAACGGAAACCGAGAAAAAGGATGGTGATCATCATGAAAGTAGAGCTATGGATGAGAATAATGATGACCAAATTGTTTGATTATTTGGAATCTATCCTGTTGTCTGTCGTTGTTCATTACTGGAATTGACATTCAAATTAAAGTTAGACATTTCATTGCCATGTCGAATGTAATATTTGATAGTTATTGATTGTTGAAACTTTGCACTTGGTTATTGTTGGCTGATAACGTTAATTTGACCTATTTTCAGCTATTAACAGCTATATTTGATGGTTTCAAAAGAAAACTCTCAAGGGTTTGTGTTTTTTCTGTAGTTGGTTATAGGCGTTGTATGTTGTTTAGTTGAGCTTTTGTGGGTCGAGACAGAACTGTCAACAGTAGTATCTAAGGGCGTCGTCAATCTGTTTACATTGCTGCATCTTTTATCATCTTAGAAAGAGTCATGAAGTCGCTGAACGGGCAGGTATGTTGATAGAGAAGACATATGAAATAGTGTCTCTATTTGATGATATGACGAGTTCATTTTAGTTATAGAAGAAATAGTTAAAATTGTTTCGTTTGAATACAATATTAGTCATCTAATTTCCTTTCCTAATCCTGAACACTACTGATATTTGATCTCCATGTTAAAGGAACGAAACTCGCAGACGTTCTATTCATTAGTTTAACAGTTGGTCCAATATTTACGTTTAGTTATTTAAGCATGTTATCTAATTATATTAGTTTGTATGTAACAACCAAAACACAAAAAAAACAGTCGCATTGTAAAAATGGTCTATTCTGTCGCTAATCCAGATCTGAGTTTATGAAGAAGTTACACAACAAAAGTTCATGTTCGGAAGCTATGCTAGGCTAACTTAACTAGAGACTCAGTGCCAACTTTAATGCCCATATATCAACTTGCGACGTGATAATACAGGCATTATTAATACATCAATGTAATAGTGCAACAATCAAACCGTTGGAAATTTTACTCAACTTTCCTAGACCCGGTATATCTGTCAAATATTTGGACCCCCAAAATAGTGTAGACTAATCCAAAATTGTTCTTTATTATACATTCCATGCTGAGATGCTTGATACACAGCAAAGGCAGTGAACAAATATCGAGTATAATTCAAATTCAAAAATGATACAACACTAACCAAACTCCACTTTTATCAGAAGTTCTTCAATATCTTATCTGCAGATACTCCATCAGCAACAAGAATTGACGTCACCTCCTGTAACAATAATGTATTCAAGTGTTATGGATTTGGAACCAAGACAAAGAAAACGAGCAACGAAATATTTGACACTCCCCGTTACTCTGAAATCCCGTGTGGATTGACCAGCAAGTTAATGGACCTGCATTATTTAATGGGCCCAAGATAATTGGGTTTAGGATTCACCGAAATGACGTCTAAAAATGATTTCTTAAGTCTTAATATTTCTCTTACCAAACATCTTTATATATATATATATATATATATATATAATATTTTTCACTTATTTTCACTGACTTCATATCTTTCTTTCCTATTTCTATTAACCTTATTTCTTGCCTGTCCTCCCTCCTTACTAGAGACACACCTTACTGTAAAAACATGGGCTACCCTTCTTAGCAACATGGATAACATACAGTGTGTCAATGACCGATGGCAAAATACAACAGAAGACCAAAATTGGGTCATATAAACATGACATTGTGGCCTGTGGTGTTCCAATGGAAGGCTCTCCTTCACAAATTGCCAATGATGACTGGCAAAAAATCCACCAACCCTACAACTATAGTTGACATTTAAAAACACTGATAAGAGATCTAATAGTTATTTGTATTGTAGACAACAATGTTAACAATGTTGCATATCCCTTTCCCACAAGACTATGGAGCAGCCTCTCCCTCCCTCTCTCTCTCTCTCTCTTACTCACCATAGCCCATTCAATATATAGAAGTCATTGCTTTGCATAGCAACCAAATCCTATTTGAGTGAGTCCAGTTTAAAGGCACATACAATTGTGGTAGAATGCTAATGTACTCAAATGCCATCTTATTAAATAACGCCAGTTTGTCGAAATGAACCTTATTTTTTATTAGTTGCACAACCCTTTCACTAAGTTTTAGAAGATAAAAAATCAGAGGCCAGGGTAAGGAGAAGAAAGGAAGTAGAATGTAATTAACACGGTGCATGACTAGTGGAGATTACCTTGTCTTTTCAGTATATCTTGGAGAATGAAAACATTAGGATCTTTCTCTTATTCTCCATATAGGTTTTCATTGTTATCCAAGGAGAATGAAAACAAGTAGAATGTAACTCATTTGCTTTTAGTTACCTGACTGTTTTAAATTTATTTTCTGTAATTATTTAAACTTTAGTCATTTGGTTCTACTAAGGAGGAAACATTTAATAGCCTAAATGCTAATTTTCTTCCTAATCGAGTGCTATTTCGGGGATGTTGGTTTCCTCAAAGCAACCATTATTATGTCTTTCTCTCTTTCTCTACATGTCAATATAATCTTTCTTAGCCTGATAAAATTTATTGGAAATCACAATTTTTTGTTAGTCTCACTTCTTATTTAAAAGAATTGTTAGAACTCCTGCTCTTCCTATAAGATAAATAGGATAGATAGTGGTAATTGACAAGAAGGTTGCACCAATGGAAAGTTAAAACACACAACAAACACGTCTCATAACTATACCGACTGACAAGCTGGGGTCTAAGAACACACCTCGGTCATCTGTTTGTGCCCACAAAGTACGGCACCAGTTGCCAGTGGGTTAGATATCTGCTTTGCCTTTGAAAATGCAGCCTGTGAATACAACCGTGTGCAAAGAATCATTGTCTGTGAAGGAAGTAATGTGAAACTTCATCCTACGAGCTCAAGCACTTTACCTGAACATAGCCAGTTTCCCCAGTCCAACTATCATCAGGTTTAGACAATACAGGAACAATCTTTACACCAGAAGATTCCCAGTCTTTAAATCTATCCTATAAGATAAAACAACATTGCTATTAAAGCAGCTCTGATTAAAAGTAGTTCAACCTTTCCTTTCATCAAGATAAAAAAAACAATTAAAATAACCTGATAAGCCATTCTCTGTAGGTTTCTGGCCCCATAATATAGTCTTACATCAGACCTATTCCCCACATCAAACCCCGATTCAATTAGAGACCGAATTGGACTGCACACAACAAAGTAAACGGTCAGACCAATACAAGCAAAATCAAGGATTAAGGTTATGTTAAACTTTCCTATAAGCATTTCGAGAGAAAAAAAAACCAGTATAAATTGAGCTTCTTTCACAAGAAAAAAAAATATATAGTAAAAGTCTTGTTAAACAAACTTCTCCATAAAGACTACGAGAAAAAAAATGAAATTAGAGAAATCTTCTAAAAAGTAGTTTATGTATTAACTAATTTTAACATCAGGAAAAACTAATTTTATTTCATTTTTCTTGTTTTTTTCTTCTAAAGTCCTTGTGAAGAAATATGTGTAAACAATCCTAATTCATGTAACCATTTTAGAAGTTTTTTCATTTTGCTCCTCCAAAAATTGAGGTGCATAAGTTTTACTTTTAGGAAGCTTAATTCAGTTTAATGCTTATTTTCTTCTCCTGCAATTGTTCATAGACAAATTTATCCGAACAGAATCCATTACTGTAACATAAAGGTTTTTAAAAGCTGGAAACAACAATTGCTACTGTAACATTAAAGTTTTTGAGGTCTATGCGCTGCAATTTGGATCTACTTAATCGCATTTACTGAAGAATTTTGCATGATATCAAGGATCTTGAAGAAACTACAACAATTAAAACTTCATTTTCCATGCAGCATGAGTTTGTAACCACATAAATTCAATGTTCTAAGAAGGAATGAAAGAAATGGAAAATTTTAAATAGATAACAAAAATCGAGGGTAAAACGGTAATTTGCACACTGACCTAATTCCAGATCCAGTGGCGAAGACGATAACGGTTCCATATTTCTCGGGCGGCTCGATCAGATCGATGTTGAATCCGTTTCCCATGACTTGGCTTAGTTCAACCACATCGCCTCTCTTCAACGCGCACAGGGCTTCCGCGGTGGACCCCGCCACGCTCTTCACGAGGAACTCGAACACGCCATGCTTCGCGGCCAGCTTCGGCGGCGATGCAATGGCGAGGAACGAGGGCTTGGACGAGTCGGGCACGCGGAGCTGGAGGTACTGCCCGGCGATTGTGTGGGACGCGGCGAGGTCAGGCGCGTCAGACACGTCGATGGCGACGTGGAAGAGCGACTCGGCAGCGGGCTCGACCTCGGAGAGTGGGGCTGGGGTCCAGACGGTAGTGTCCTGACGAACAGCGGCGGAAACGGTGGCGAGGCGGCGGCGGCTGGAGCGAAGGTTTAGATGGAGGCGGCGTAGGACGGACATGGAGGGGCTAACGTACGCATGGGGGTGGAGGGTAAGCGAGGGTGACGGTGAGATAAAGAGTGACATGGTGTTTTTTGATGATAGTTTTGTTGTGGGGAGGTCACGTGGAGGGTTCGGTCAGAATAGAAAGAGGCGGCGGAACAGGCGGGTAATGATAAATTGCACCACTGGTGAATTAAGGATAATGAGAGTTCCACGTGTCATGTTTTTATTCGCTGTCTTGTCCCATGGAGTTGGAACGAAGATGATGAGTCTGGTTGGTTACCTTGTTGCATAATAAAATTATTTTAATATTGTAAAAATATGATTAAACAGATTTTGGTTTGAGTTTAACGTATAAACTTTCATGTTATCATCAAATCAACACAAAATTATTCTCAGTATAATTTTAAAATAAGTATTGTAAAAATTAATAAATTTGTCACAAATGATTTAGAATTAACAAATAATATGATTTTCATATTATTAACTTTTTGGTATTTTCTATTTTAATTATGATTTATAATTGAGAAATAATATAAAACTTGCATATTATCAACTTTTTAATTTTACTATTTTAAGTTGGAGTTATACTTGGTTTTACTTTCATAATTAAAAAATTGATTAAATCTCAATTTTAAGTTGCTAGTGTATCAAAATATTACTTTTTTAAGTAATTACAAATGTGCATAGCTACGAGTTTTTATATTTTTATTCTTCTTAAAGTAATCATATCAATGAGCATTCCAAGTCTAATTTTATAAAAGTAAATACAATTACAGTTAGTTTTCTTTTTCATATTTAATTAGCTTAACTATTTATTACGAAAAAATAGTTTCATTTTAACTTTTAAAATCCGTGTAATAATAGTATACTATGCATAATACTAAAAGAATATCATTATTATAAGAAGCTATGTCAATATTCTATGGATTTCCATTTTTCCATGGCTATTTTATTTTTGGATAATTGCGGTCTCATTGTAATCATGCTATTCATTTTCTTCAATTCGTTTTTGTTGGACATTGTCAAACAGAGAGCGAAAGGATTAGCACAACGAATACTCTTGAAAACGAAGGCAGTTCAAGAAAATATTTTAAGACAACAACGTAGTATCACCATCGCCTTAAAAAATATATAAGTTAATGCTTCGCTTTAGACCGGGAAACTTGAGCTTCATGCATAAACAAAGTTATGTTTTGTCTTGTGGATTGGGTCGTTGCTCTGCACACTTCTCTTTCTTCTATTCTCTCTTTTGTATTTGTAAGAAAAATTATACATAATTTGCGTACAAATTTCTGGAATTGAAGACAGTGTTAGGTTCTGTATGTGGCAGCAAACATGAAGTTTCAATATGACTATCATAAATATATAAGAGTTCTGACTTTTGAACACCAAGATGCTGAATGAAGTCCTATATACCTCGTCTTTACCAGAACCATTCTACAAAAGTTCAGGGGTGAAGTCCATTATCAGATAAGATAGGAAAGAATGAAGCTGTTGTGGTTTCTTGCATTCATGTGTTGTTTGGTTATCCTCTTTCTCCAAACCACTGAGGCTAGGTACATAAACATTTTGTATCGACACGTACTAGAGTTGCAACATGTTAATTTGTTTCATGAAAGTTGAGTAGTTAGTTCATAGTAACATATATTTGATACCAAGTAACCATATAACAAATGTATTGATGCTTCTGCCTATGCTCCACCGTCACCTGACTATGGTACTTCCGGATGTCCATAAACAACAATCTCATGTAATTAATCATTCATACATATATCAACTCTGGAATAGTTACCTTCATATTTATAGTGTATGCTTCTTTTATATATTATATCAGAGTGCTTTTAAGTTCATAAGTTGAGAACTGGACTTTGGTGTAAGATGAAGTTAGTATGCAGTTTGTTTAGTTATTAAATAAAATTGTCATTCGTAATGTTCGAAAAGTATAAAATGTGGAAAAACTTTGAGGTTTTCTGAATCATATTAGAGAATTCAAATAAAAATTCCTGAACAACCAATATATTTAGCTCTAAATCAGAAATTGATCAAATCCCAAATAGAACTTCAATCCATTTTCCTTGGACACGAAGGCAGAACCAGAGGTGCCTTAAACCACAAATTTTCAGTCCACGAGACTCATAAGTTTTTCTCAAATCTCATTCGCAAATATTAGCCACATGCAATTGGATTCAAGAGAAAAACATGGATTTGAAATGAAATCGAAATTTGTGTGAAATGGGGACATCCTAATCCCCTCCTTAATCAACAAGAGATTATAAAAGCCCCACTCTCTGTATCTTGATATTCAGTTAGTCTTATTTAATCAAGTATAAAAGAACAGTCTATTTAGAAAAATAAGTGTATGCAACATACATACCTGCTGTTCCCAATTTATGCAACTTGTTATGGTATAAAGTAGAATAAATTGAACAAAAGCACCGACTTATACACCAATCCAATGTCCTTTTCCTTTCATTTTAGCCAAAAATGCCAGCGAGGCAGCAACAGGAATCCCAGAGGCGGAATGCCTCTAGATTGACATATATGTTGCCATCCACAACCTCTAGCATCCCCTAGCCAAAATTTGTAAAGTAAATTGAGACAACGCCTCTCTTCAATATAAAATTTGCTTAATCAATAGACGAGGAAAGGGGATTTTACCTGTGAGAACACTTTGTATGCTGTCCAGTGTAACAGAAACGCAAACCTGAGGAGCCATGGCAGTGACATAATCAACAACTTCCTTCTCATTGCTGAAAATATAACCAAAAACACTGCGAGGGAAAAAGAGGGTTCCGCTAACTATATTTGCCTCCGTGATTACAAAAGAGATTGCAGCCAACACAGCAACACGGCAGCATGTGGATTTCCAGCTCCTAATTCATTTGAAATCCTTCTGCTACACAATTAGACAGGAAAGATAATTGGTTTATGATGTACAGATTGTGACATGCAAAATGGTTAGAAAGAACTGTTTATGATGTCACCTAGCTGCAGCAGAGGTTCCAAAAGGTATTGCAAAGAGAGTGCAAATAGTGTTGAGACTGTAGAAGAAAGACTGTTAGACCGTGAGTTGAATCGCGCTAACTTACAAAAATGTTAGACCGTGAGTTGAAGTTCAAGGATGACCTTATAACTCTTAAATGACATGTTGAAAATAAGAAATGATTGTAGCAAAGATACCAAACAGATATAACTGAAGTTTTAAGTTGTGAATTTGGAAACATCCCAGACAGAAAGATAAGCAGCTCAAACGACCACCATTCAAGGCTAAAATGAATATTACATGAAAAAACATTACCCTTTCGGAAAACTAAACAATTTATAATCGTGTGTGTGTGTGTGTGTATTCATCACTAAATCATCACTTCAGAAGGGATCGCAAAGCGAAGGAACTCCAAAATTCCTTGGAACAGCTCCATAGATATGGGTGCACGCGTTTTTGCACATGCAGGATCCCATGTACAATAAAAGAAAAACACAAAAGCCAAACAAAGAGGTATCATAAAGTGACACAAGAACTTGTAAGCATTGGAAGAATCAGACTTCGCATTGAAAATATCGAACTATCGGTCCAATAATTGCATATGCAAAAAGTGCTGGAAGAAGCCAGATAATGAATTTTCCTGCTTCATGTGCAATAAGAGGGTCCTGGCCGATGGAAACTAGTATCTTTTCCATGCTGCTCCAAATGAAAGTCAGGGGAAGACAAACGATTGTGAGAGAGAATATGGCAGAGTATGTTTGCACACCAAACTTTTTATAAGACTGAGCACCATATAGTCCACAGATAGTTTCTGGTCCACTAGCCATTCCCGTCTGTTAGCGTGTACAGATTGAGATTGAACTGAGTCACTTAGGGAAATAAAATCAAGATGAATTTGAGGAAAGTAACATGACAGAAATCGCCGATAAAGAATATATACTTAATCACTAAAAGCATTCGATTTCATTGGAGTCGATTCAGTGATTAATTACTACCTTTGAGCATCATTAGGAATATGTAGAGATATGGATAATATGTGGTAGTTGTATTGACCATAGGTCCTGCTATTCTGATGATCTTTTTGATTCTTCACCCAAAACATCCCATGTAACTTTCTGCTTCTCACTTCCTTTTGCTAACAAATTATCTTCCATTTTGTTCTCTCCTACTAGTTACCACTAAGATTTCATAGTGATTTTGTAATTCAATAACACTAAGAAAATTATATTAATCATCCATAGAAATTAAACTCAATATGAAAACATGAAGGTATGATTATGAGAAACTGGAACCTGAATTTCTGCGTCCTCCTTGTGTGCAGCGAACCTCAGATTCCACTTCGCTGATGAATAGCGAAGCAGTAACCGAAAGAGAAAACAGGTTTGAAAATGCAATTTGTTCCCTCTAAATGTTGGTGGATCAAAGCTTTTGTTCACTACATCATGGGCCCTGCTATGTGAACCACCCTTTTCATTTCTTCACTCAAACTATTCCCACGAACTTTTTGCTCCTCTCTTTCTTTTCCGCACTATCATTCTCTTTCATGTTTTTCTTTCCCACTGGTTACAACCATATGTTATGCAAATCATATTTAAATTAAATCTATTAATCCTAAGACCAAATTAAGTCTATGTTATCATGTTTACAAGTTTGAAATTCAACTACAAACTCGGAGAAAACACACTATCTATGATAGTTAATAATACTTCATTGGAAACTTCTACATATTTAATAATACATGTAAATATATTGTCATATAAAGTAAATTCAATTTGCAAAAGTTTTGTTTACTTGAAAATTGCTTGTATTTCAAACAATTGTTAAAGACAGAGGTGAACAAAATATCACAATTCTAAAGACACGAGAATATAATCAAAGAACCAAAATCCAACAATAACAACACTAATTGAAAATATCACTTTTCTCAGTTAGTCGAATTAATAATAAATTAAAACGTTAGCACAAAATAAATGAGAAGTTTTAAGAAGAAAAAGACATTTATTCTAAAAGATATATTCCTTCATGTAAAAATGATATTGAAATATTTGGGGTAACATATAATTTTGAAAAAAAAATGAGACTACAAATTTAAAGAAATAATACGAAGGGAAAATAATTAGAGAGACAGTGGCATGTTTTCCAATATATATAGTATATATATATAATATAAATCTATTATTATATATATA